CAGACACGCGTTTACACTCAGGAGGCGCTCCGCGTTTTCAGCGTCCACGCGCGGCGCCTCGCCTACAAAGAACGCCCCCGGCTACTTCTGAAAGACTTATCTCTCGCCATGTATCCTCAAAATATTTATGGATAATCAATAGTAATGCACTAGCTGTCTCCGTAAAGAATGAAGGTTTGACAACTGGAAGAATATTGAAACCCTGAATTTATAAAGACCAAAACAACAAAATTCCATAAAAGGTAATGTAAAAGATTGCTATCTTCAATGTGCACGACTATATACCATATTACTCACTAACAATTCTCGCTAGGATCTGTTAAACATGAAAAGTCCCCACAAGGACTGAATTGAACATTCTAGATAATACTGAATTATAAAGAGTTTTGTAAAAAAAATCCAATGCTTTTAGCAACAAAATCCTAAATATTGCATGATACTAACAAATATCTGCATGATTATAAACCGATAACTAGTTTACAAGTTGAATGTTGAAAACCAAACGAAAGCGAAATTAACTTAAAACTAGATCATTGAATATTGCCAATACACTTAATACAATACTTACACAAAAAAACTTGAACACCATTTATTTGAAAATATTCCAATAGCTTATAAAATGAAAAAAAACAACATTAATTCACATTTCCAAAGTTCATTTAATTATACCAGGAATTTTTATTTTATTTTATTTATTATTTATTTTTTTGGCGCGATCACTAGCCAATAAATTATAAGAGCCGGTACACTCCAGGGGCCGAGAACCAATTTTCATTTCCCCACAATGTTCCAAAGTGGAGATCCTCAAAAATATATCACAGATACCGATTTTCTTAGGACTCCATATTGCTTTAGCAAATAATTCTGTTAGTTACTTTCCTCTTCACTTTATACAGATTACTACAAGAGACCGATTTGACAGCTAATGCTGCCAACATAACTGCAGGTTATATCCCAACTCTCAATTCATCAATGCGTTCGTTTACTGTTGGCTAATTTGTAAATGGTTTCTCCAACGTCTCTTGCAATGCCATAGCCCTACATGACGTTCATTTGTTTCCCGGCCTGTCAAAGTGATCCCTCGTCCTGCCAGCGTGTTAACTCCTCTATGACAGACTTCTCGTGAGGCACAGATTAACCCGCAATATTGTTACACCAACACCTGGTCAATAAATCGATTTGAATATAAGAGTTCAACAAAATTCTCTCTCTACATATACTAATTCGCTATAAATATATGACAGTGTTTAAGGATTTACAAAGAAAAAACAGACACACAAACGCTGCGTGCGATAACGAATTACCCCCGGTCCTATAGAAAACTGATTTAAGAAAAAAAATGCAGATCATGCCATAGCGAACGTATTACTGCAACAATGTTAAAATCGCGCCAAACACGATGCGTCCTAGGCCTGAAAACGCAGGTTTTCGTGTCCCCTATAGGATGCAAGTTAGGGGGGAAAAGTGTGCAATAGACGGCAGGGAGCAGGCGAGGCCCGATTTGTTTCTTAAGCACTATTCTACTGAATGACATCTTTTTCAATCTTCTATTCACTTTTTGGAACTTTAGCTCTTCTGGGAACTCCTACTCCGTAGCATGAGTAGTCAGATATACGAGAACTCGAAATATATGTAAAAATTAAATTGAAAGCATGAAGACAAATAATATTCCACGATAAAATTAAAGTTTTTGATTGTTTATTTACATTTCTTATTTGGATATCTTCACTAAGAGAAGATTGTATTTGTGGTTTAGAGGAGGGAGAGTGCTTGTGGGAAACGGGGGCAAATAATTTTATGAATTAGGGTGGGCGAAAGAGAGCTTTGGGGAATCTGGATCTAATGCGGGATGGATAATGTGCGTTTTGGCCGAGATTGAATATTGGAGTGATGAGGAATGCTGGGAGGAGAGAATAATATTTTTCAGAGGTTTGTGAGATGAATTCTGAGAGGAGAGGTATTTGAAGCTCTCGGTGGATTTGTGAATTTGAAATTAACCACGGGGCTTTCAAGGTTTGTTTTAGATATTTATTTTGGATTGTGTGACTGTCTATGAAATCTAATATTTACACTTAGCAATCTTAGAACTCGGGCGTATAATACTGGGAATAATCCTCACCGTTCGAAGGTAGAATCCCGTACTTTCCCTTTTAACCAAAAAATTTACACAGTACTAAATGTTCGCACAGATTCAGCTAGTATTTAATAATAGAACAGTTGACACTTCAAACTAAACAGCACGTATAGTCATGCCCAAATTTTTGAATATTAGTTACTCTTCTGTCCTAAGTTTTGGAAAGCGAAAAAAAATCACGCTAAAGAGAACTATAAAGGACGTTAAAGAGAACGGACTTCTTTCGATTTTTCCCCCACGAAACTACATTAACTACCAACTTCCCGTATGTCAGAACATGTCCTGTTTTAGAAGTCTGGAAAACTCATTGAGGAAATGTTCGTGTAAGCTCCTTGGAAAGGCATCCATCGGTGCTCGAGTCCCGTCGAAATGACGAATTCGGGACGGGGATTTACGGCAGAGACCACCTCCCGCCCCCAGAGTGCTGAGGGGGAGGAGGGGGCGGGAGGGTAGTCGACAGGCGCCGCCGCCCCAGAAAGCGAGGAGACGGCAGAGAGAGAGAGGAGAGCTTGCTTCAAGGTTGGCGCGTGTGCCAAGAAATAGCCCCGCGCCGCCCTGCCGCCCCGCCCCCTCGGCTCGCGCACACGTGCTCTCCGCCACCCGCTCCGGACCCACCCGCCCTGCACTTCTTTTCTCGCCGGCGCCATTAGTAGCAGTATCGCGCTTTTAAATCCAAACGAACGATTTCCCAAGCAACTTAACTCGGGTAAACGCACGTTTTCAGTCTTTACAGCAACCACTTCAACTCATTAATGAATATAACAAGTAAAAACAGGTTTCAAACCTACAAGGCAAGAGCTAAACATATTTCTACACATCATTTCAGCGAAGTTTGCTCACAGCATATATGCACCTACGCTACCTAAAACTAAATTGACTATTTAAAAAGAACCAAAGTTTAAGAGTTGTGAAAAAGTAATCAATAACACAGAAAGTCACCTCAGCCAATAAGTCACCTCATATTTTTACCACAAAAACTTACAATAAGCTTTTAATGGCTAATAGCTATGCACTTTGTGTGAATCATGTCTAAAGCTCTCTAAAAATTCAATCATCAATAGTGACTTTGATTTTTTAATAGAATGTGAGAATTTTGTCGTAGTTCTTTGGTATAGGGTCACACAATAACATATAATTAATTAATCTTGCAACACAACATATGTATTCCAGATTCTCTACTTGACAAGCCTTATTGCAAACTTCAAAATTTCTTCTCGTTTTAGTTGACCACTTCAATTTCTGGAAATATATAATACATTGCTCAACTCCCCACTTTTTTAAATATTTAAATGAACCTGCACCAACATGGAAGATAACACTACATTAAACCAATTTCACCTACTTGACAAACTGTTTTCAATTCTGAAAATCTAAACTTTACAGTAATTTCACATATTTATTTATCTATTCTCAATGATAATTCATATAGTGGGTGAATTGGATTCTTCACCTTAATAAATTCAGCATCAACTTCAACTTCTTTTTACATTTTCAAAACATTATTATATGGTCTTAGTTTCTTCATTTAACAAGATTGAATCTAGGCAATTAAGTGTTGTTTTCAGACTCTGCCAAAGGCACCATTGTTAAGATTGTTTAATTATACAATGAGTAACATTTAGTGTAAACTCTATAACCAAGCATTTCAGGAAAATTGAGCAATCACAATTAAAGACTCATGATATCAATTTTATATTTATGGCATGTTTATTTTCAATTAATCATTAGAATAAAAAACTGACCACACTGTGTGAAACTGTCAAAAACAAGTAATTCCTGCTATCACACATTTTCTTTTATTTTTCCTTCACTCTACCATTTCCTCTCACTGTGATTTTATTCATTGTCATTAACACAAATCAATGCAAATTGTCAGTTTAATATAGTATAACGAAAAGCATTCTGAAATACATTAATGAAAATCTGTCACAGCTTTCAAGCTCTTAACATTTCACCTTAACCTACAAATAATATCAATTTCTAACCAAACCACTTTAATCTGCTTAACAAATTATTACATTCACTTTGCACTTTCTAATTATGTCCCTTCTAAACAAGCAAAGTAACAAAGTTCACACAGGAAACAAAAACAGTAAATTTTAACACCACCAACATTGATTATTCCCAACTGCCTGAGCCATATAAATTTCATTTAACACAGTAAAGACACTTCGAAATTTAACAGATTAATCAAACATAATTGGTCAATAAATGTATAGTGTAAAATGTAGTTATAAACATATGCCATTTTCAAAAAATTAGACTTCAAAGTTAACTATTTTTTTCGAAAAAATAAGAGTAAAATAGTTTCTTTACATTAAATTTGGATAAGAGTCTTATTATGTTCAAATAAAATTTAAAATTAAAAGGAAATAAAATTCCTTTTCAAAAATTAAGTTTGACTAGTAATGACATCTGTCAGTTCTTACTGAAATAATTCACACCAGTACTATTCTACTTATTACTAATAAACCTAAAACTTGCTTCCCAACTTAACACATGTATCACAGCTTAAAGATGAAGGGAATATCAAATAAGACTTATAAATAATAGAAATTGAAAATCATGCAATGTGGTTAACCCATTTCCTCCATTACTACATTAAGATTGCTGTAAGACATTCAAATAAATGGGTAACAAACACTTCCTATCAAACAGTACCTACGCAGCCTACTCAATGACCGGAAAATTAACTCTTAATAAATATATTTTTAATTTTCATAGCCAGCTGGACGATCAGTCAGCCATTTTGTCTGGCATTAAACGTCTACCAGAGTTACATTCCATCACTCCACAACTCTGTCATGCACCAAAAGCAGGGAGAAGAGATAGAATTAAGCTCAAACACAGCACACTGTGACATTACCTGGTGCAGGGCTGTCAATCCATCAACGTTCGCCGTGTCTATGTCAGCTCCTTCCCGAAGTAAACGTAACACTTCGTCCTTATCGCCCGCTGCACATGCTGCTAAAAACACCACGCCCGACGAGAACTGAATTTTCTTGTTCCTTCTTCGAGGCACTATTTTTTCGCGGTTGGTCTCCGATTCTTCCCATCGTTTTAATTGTTCAGCCCTTTTGAAAAGAGCCGAACTAGAGCGAGTCTCCAGAGACATGATAAACACTATCCATACGTTCAGACTCGCACAGCTCACAGGGGAGCGGTTGCTGCTACTCTCCTCTCGACTCGCTAGCTCCACTCGCTTGGCTCGCTTTACACTCGCAACCAGCTACCATATTGTTATGTAACCTCGAGATAACCAGGGCAGCTTTTGGGAAGGGAGCGCCATCTATTAGTGAAGTGAAGTACTATACAACAAAAACAAAAGAGTAACTCATCGCTTTGAACGTCGAAAGCGCATTGAATCTTCAGCAAAAAAATTTATTGAAATGGCCATCTCCCGTAATTGAAATCATATTTCAAATGCGGGATGTAATTAATTCGTTTCCTTGCACCAAAAATAATAAAGAGAATTACTAAAGGTTACTTAATGAAAACATGCCCATGTATGTAGCTTAGAAAAAAATTCAGGCTCTATTTCAGATGTCTTATGACATGGGGGCGGATTTTAATGAAATGTCATGTTATTTCTTTTCTCTTTAGAACAATGCCGTTTAGTATAGAAATTCATTTTGTGTTATAACGAAGAGAAATGACTTTTTTCTTGTGTTTTTTTTCTTTTTTTCTCCATTTTCGGTGATTTCAACTAATAAGTCATGTTTTACATCATTTTTATTACATTTCATCCATTTTAATAATACTTACTTCAAACAATATTTACGAGGTGCAACAAATGTTCATCACAGAATTCCTGAGAAACCTTTGTGATTTTTTTTTCTCTCATAAATTGTAATGTTGTGAGGACTATGTAATCTAAGGTTTCTGTGACACCTATCGGCGTCATTGTCAGTTCGGCCGATTTCGCAATAAAAGCAGAGATTTTCTTACAAAAAACAGACGAAACCAAAAGTCTGCAAGCCGAGTTCACTTGAACAAAAGAAAGAAGCCTCGATTACATCAGTAACATATCCAACAGCTTGAGTTGTTCATCTGAAGTGGCTTTAATAAAAAGTCATTTTTCTTTGCTTTTAGGGCATTTTAAAAGAATTTTATTGATTATTTTTTGACAATGTTTTCAGACATCAAAATCCGCCCCTACTTATGCCAATAGTCCAAGAACTCTCGTAAAAAGCTTCGGACATTTCCGGTACAAAGTATTCTACCCGTAAGTAATACAGTCTACCCGTCCTCGCGAGTTCATTGTAAGAAATTGCACCTAAAATTGAAAAGGAAAAAACAAACAAACAACTTTTCTGCCAAAATGTTCCAGTGAAAAGGGCTTCCTTCGGAGCAGTAAAATTCAGGCTGGAATTTCTCTTTTTTCTGCGAAAATGAAATATTTTTCAACGCCTCGCGTTTTATAGTTATGTAGTTAAGCGATTTTTGCATTTAAATTCGCTAGTGATGATAAGGTTGCTTTTATGGGATTTATCTACAAGTAAAATACGCAGATACTTAGGGTCTCCGCGCCCCCAAAAACCATAAGTTATTGGATAAAATGTCATAAAATGATTTAACCGTAAAATAATTTTTAATCAAAGAGTATCCTGGACAATTATAAAGAACGTTATCTTCTATAATGATATCTTATTATAAATAGTGAACTTTTAGTAAATCGGGAAGAACTTTTTGTTTCGTCTCCCCAAAATAAGGTTGTCATTTTGGTACGGTTTAAGGAAGGAGACTCTTCACGAACAAGAACTCTGATTTTAAGACCACAGAATGTGTCGTTCCGAATTATTCAAAGCGGTAAGGTGCGTAGCAATGTGTGTTGCGGGGTGCATGAACGACTGCGTTTTTTATATCTTATTCGGGATTTTTCTCTACAGACATTTATATTATTTTTTCCCATTTTCATTCTGCTTGGTGTAGGACGGGCAGTTATTTACAACTCCAGCTGTTGCTTACCGGATTTTGTCGATTTCTCATAACTGGCACAAAACTGTCTTATTTTCTTGTCGAGTAAATATAAAATTTGATATTTTGATTGAAATTAGGACCCCCCACTAATCTACTGCCCTGTGCTCATAATTTCACTGGGCACTCTTAGCCGCCTGTCTCTATTAATGACTATGTAAATTGATTCATTATGGGCAAATTCTCAGAACTTGGCGAACAAGTGCATAGCATACACGAAATGAATGTTGATATTAATATCAGACTAGCTGATTTCCCGACATTGCGTGGGTATTTATTTCTCACAATTGTCTATTTACTATTAAGTAATCCCCCCATGCCTTTACCACCCTGCCCATCCAGCAGCTTCCTTTCTGTCCCTCCCACTTCATCCCTATCCTCCCTTTGTCCCTATATTCCAAATCGAGTTTCTTATCACATTAAAGGTAAGAGTAAATATGAATTTCTAATCAATGTTTCAAAAATAAAAAAATTTAACCTTTCAACACAGAATAAATGTACAAATGAAAGTAGTAGCATTCTAATGTGGGAAAAGAGATTCTATTTGCATCACTGCAGGGGCAAAAAATGAATTGATGTCAAAGGCTTTCGCGGCCAGTCACACAAATGATCTTGGCTGTCCAGGTAACATCACATCTAAAGCTGTGATGCCGACATTTCAACCATCTTATCGTGGTCTTCCTCAGAGCTGAATAATGTGCTAGGATGGAAAGCACTCAGGTCCTCAGCCATAAGATGGTTGAAACATCAGCTTCACAGCCTTCAACACTATGCCATCTGGATAGCCAAGGCCATTCGCAGACAGCGAATTGGGCACGCTAACCAGGGAGCCTGTGGTTCCACATAGCTTTCTACTGCAAAGGGGTCCTTTGAAGTCTAAGAAACAGAAAAGAAGACTGCATCCCTCATCGCACTGCTTCAACTACTAAAACTTGGTAAGATGCAGCCAGCATGCAGCATCTTCACAAGCCTACTTCACAAGCTTCCTCTTAATGCATGATTTCAGGAGTTTAACAAACATATGGAATGGCTTCTGGGGCAGCAGAGACACTGTGCATGTGTACGGGTTTGCTAAAACACACGAAATTGTTTGTCAAAAGAAAGCATGTAAAGAGCAGGTCTTAGCTTTGATCCCCGATGGCAATTATTTATTTTCTGTATTGATCTTGCATTACAATAAGGAGGAGATATGGAATTCACTGAAACTAAGATAAAGGTCACCAGATTCACCAGTGTGAATGAATCACCTTGCTGCCAGCACTTTTCATTAATTAGCAGAAAGAACAATGCACAGAATATTGTTGCAATTTATTTATTGTCAAATAATATGTTCTTCATAAACATCTAGTTTTCAAATAAAATATGCTAAAAATGTACCTTCACGTTTATGAAGACTTAAACAGTACACAACGTTTTTAACAATTTTCATTTTTAAAGCTCACAATCTGTGTATAACATTCAGAACCATAGGATGAAAGGTATGTCCATGATAAAATTATAAATCTCTTTCCAATATCAAAGAGTATGAAAGATGGTCATCAGTCTTCTATGTAATGAAGTTACAATTCACTGAGATTCATTAACACAGTTCACAAATTGACAGATTCATTTGATTTATATTTACACATAGCCTTATCCTATGAGCAAAAATGAAGTGATGCAGAACACTTCTTGGCGTTTCCTCACTCCAACTGACAACGCTTACCATTTTTTATTTTCATTATTTTTACATTTCAAAAGTTGTTACACAACGTGTTAAGTTTTACATGAAACAAAAAATATATATTAGTTTCCAGAACATAAAACAGTAAGAAACTTAGCTCTCTTAAGTCAAAATGCATCTGCCCATTTTTATAAGTTTTCATAAAATTCTGCAATTTATTATTTTACAATTCCACCTCCAGAAACCCTAGAAACAGTTTTAAATAACCTTTAGCTAGATACCAACAATTTTGACCAACAGTGGACTCTTATACAATGTTATAGGTTTTTAGAAATTTTTTGATGCTGAATAAATAAGTAGCTTATTCACATTTTGCATAGTTTATGATTTGTATGTAATAGTGATTTTTTATCTCTAATTTTTTAATAAGTTTGTTCACAATATCTTGCCTTTGCATTTAGAACCTAACCATTTCTTACAAAAGTATACAAGCTAATTTTTAACAATTTTCACATCCTCTTTTATAGTCTTCATGCTTTTTGTGATTAATAGTTGAGAAAAGTTTTCTATTTCAGAGAAAATGATAAAAAACATGACAACAAAACAAAACAAAATGATAATTCAATTTGAGCCGACTGTTTAATCTTTCCACCTTTCTGCTCCATATTCTCTCATTTGCTTACTACTTTACCACCAAGACAAAAGTTTCAAAATTGGATAAGATTACAAGCTAACTATTCACAATTACATCATTCAGAATATTACATAAAATTGAAATGATCCCAGATGCAGTTTCCTTTTACACTTATTGAAATTTTAATACACTGGAAGGAAATTAAAATTCCAGTGTAACTGTAACAGTATCCACCAACAATGAATTAATCATTCAGAACTGTTGTGTGATCTCTTCCATATTTTCAGTTTTCTCATTGAAGTGATACACCAAAAGGCACATAATTTGTGGTTTGTAAATACATGTAAATATTATGCACTTGAAGTATTTATGGACATTTCTCACAAAGAATATATCTTAGAAACCGCATTTGACAGTTTCCCTGCATCATTTTTGCTCTTTCACTGATAACATATTATGTTCTTTTAATAAATACTGTTTATACACTGAGCAAAACATACAACTTAAATTCTGATCTGGAATAATGTATTATCCTACATTAGTTTCAATTAATCCTTACCAGTGTGCAATAATTCCCAAATACCAAAAACAAATTGCCGGTTCAGATGGCAATCAGAAGGCAGTAGTGCCGTAGCAATCTCAGACCAAAGGATCGCGGGTTCGAGTCCCACCTCGGGCATGGTTGTATTGTGTTCGTCCTTTCACCCCCTATCATCATCATTTTGTGTCACCCGCACAGTTACCATGAATCTTGGTCAAGAATCTTCAGTTGTGAATCACAATTACCAGTACAGATGTTTGAATGGAGGTACATTTGCTATGCTTTTTACAAGTTCTACTTTGAATTCTGAGAGCTGACCATGCATTTTTCAATTTAGATTTTCGTGTTGTGCTTCATGAAGGCACTATAAGACAATAAATATTTGCAATATTTTTGCCAATGTTTGTTTGAAGCTATTGTTGTGAAAAGTCATAACCAGAAGTTTTGAAACATGGTAGCAGTATTATTACCGTTACGATTCTATGAGTTTTAATGATAGGAATCACTTAATTGTACAAGTTTTCATAGTTTCATTTTGCCAATTTTAGCTTCTGATGTCTATTTTTTATATTTTGCCTACATTTATCTTTTGCTTTTTCATCCTTTTTTGTAATTATTTTGGTTTTCTTTCTTCTGGACACTGATTTTCATCAATTAAAAGCAAGCCGGGACATTACCTGCAAGCCTGGACAATACCAAGGCACAATTGTGTTTAGTCTTTCTGTAAAAGTAGAAGCTACAGAGCCAGCTAATGTTAAAAACATTTAAGAGAGAAAAAAATGACTGGTATCATTTTCCTATTTTTTTCATTGATGTCAACAAGCTTTGCTGATCATGAAGAATCCTATTATTCTTTTGAGTATGCCCTTTGATTTCTTTTGAGGACAGCTCTCTCTCTCTCTCTATGGTTTACCCTTCTCTGGGCTAGGCATTACACAAATGCATAGAACACAATGTAATACAATTTTTATTGATCCCATTTCAATATTTAAGAGACTGTTTACAATTAGCATTTCAAAAAATCGCTAATAAAAGCAATTCATTGTCATCATATCAGGTGGTCATGAGGAATCAAGATTTCAAGGAAAATATCATTACATATACGTGCTAATATAAATTTCAGATTAAAATAAGATAAGAATTTTAATTATATTTTTTCACAATAATTCTTTTTAAATGTGATTTTTCATTGTTTACATACATCTTTGCATCCCTACTTTAACCAGAATAAATGCTTTTTCCAGGCTTATTTCAGTAAAAATAAATGCCTTTTTGCTTGCCTACTTTAAATAAATAAATGCCTGAACTTTCGGACTCTGGTCAGAACTCGAGAAACAATTTAATGAATTTCTAGGGACTCATGATTGGAACTGACACTACTTTGGCTATGAAAAAACAACAAAAGAATAATCTTATTTGACAAGGAATCCAATGATTATCAAATTGGCAAAGTCTCAATATTCCTTAAATTGATGTTAAAATGAGCTCATCCTTACTTTGCTACTACCACAGCAACGTATTTACACAATGATATTCCATTTTTCAATGGAATGCTTTGTGGCTTTTTTTTCTTCTTCTGATGACTGCCTCAGTTAACTTGAAGGCTCAGCTAACAGATTCAAGTAATCACAAATGAAACAAAAATTGTGTGTGCATTGATCTCTGAACCCATATCACTTTTAGATAATCACAAATGATGGAAGTGAAGTGATTGCATGTAAATGAATGTTTTCATGATTAAATTTAGTGATGCCAAACATTCTTTTGGTTGTAATTAGCTTACAAGTACATTAAAATGTATCAACTTAATAGCTTGTTTTAAAATATTATTGTCTGTTTTCTTAATAACATTTATTTCACAAGTATTATGATGACTTTGCAACTGGTTGAGGATTACTGGATGATACATTCATTCCCATCAGTTTAATTACAAATTAGTTGGAAGCAAACTTGATTTAAAATATAAACGATCACAGCTATGACTACCAAACACATTGGGTGTTAAGATTAACATCACCATGTTAAGTAAAAAAATAGTAAAAAAGAAATATCTCTTTCCAGCATTACTTCACAACCATTCCCGGGCACAACTAATCCAATATATTCACTCTGCCCATATTTCACCACTAACACACACAGTATGAGTATTTGAGATTAAAAATACATTTTTAAACTGCTCAGCATTTAAAAACCAAATATTTTACAAAGGAAGCTCCATATTCTGAAAATTGAGTTAATAACATAATGATTTTGCATTTATAATGCTACCTCTCCAGATAAAATGAATTAGCTTTCTAAAAAGAAGTAAGGAAGCATCAAAATTTCTTAATTATTATTCTTCAACATGAGTAGAATTTCTACTATAATATGTGAATGTGTAAAGATTTATGTATTGTGCATCTTTGATGCTAACTGGCAGACAAGACCATTTGGTACTAAAATTGAAATACGCCAATACTTGTATATACCACAATCTGCATTTCTTTATATACACCCTTAATACCAGTAACACAAATGTCTACTTATCTAAGAATTCAGTGTGGTTTGTTTCAGGAGATCTTCCACAGCACAAAGTCTCTTCTCTTGCATCATTATAGTTTTTTGCAACTTTTCTACTTGACTGCACAAATGTGCAAGAATCCCCTTGATATCATCATCCTTGTTCATTTCAATTCCAGCACGACCATTAAGTGAAAAATCTTTTAGTTGTGTGGTGATAGGCACCTCTTTACTCTGGGCTTCCCTGTTTGCTTTCCTTGTGCCTGATACACTGCAGAAAGATTCTTCGTCAGACAAGGTGTCTCGCCTGGGAATAAGAGCTGGAGTGGATTCTACGTTTGTAACCTATAGCAAAAAAATATGGAAGTGAACATGGATAACAATTAATCACAAAAAAAATAACATTTTACAAATCATAAAAAAGGTAGTAAATGGTTAATTTTTGCAATTCAACTAACAATTACAAATTTCACGAACATTGCAGAGGTGTAATTTTGATATGAGTTATTTTCAGTCAAAATCACATTTTTCACTGAAATCAGTTTTAGATTGCGTGTAACTATTTGGATGTCCTTTAACAATAAGGATATGTATATTTAAAAATAAAAAGCATAATCCAAATAGTAATTTACATTATAAGGATGGAAAATGTTTCTTAGGAGTAAGAGGTTTCCAGCCAAAGCTGGAATTTTGAATGAGTGATGTAATATTTCAGTATGTGTTCTAACACATTTCATTTCATTTCATACTATGTCACATTTCACTTCCTTTTATTTTAATTTCATATGGCAAAATTTCATGATGTATGAGTGCCAATAAAGAATTGTCCATGATGCCAGAGACTTCTAGAATTTTGATTCCTATAAAACAATAGCAGTGCTCTGAACTACTTAAAATGGAATAAAGAGTTGCTTCAAAAAAAATAATAGATAAATCCAATGTAGCAAATGAACAATTAATACCTCAGAAATAGGAACCAAGGTATAAAAAAAGAATGTGAACAATTTTCTTCCTGAAACACAATCGAAAACACCAGAGAAAGTCAATTGTGAGTGTATAATTAATATTATTATAAATATTTAGGTGTATTTTGTAAATGCTGTTTGTTTATATGTAAGAATTAAAATAAGTATGTTCTCTAACCTTCTCATCTAGTACTATTATCTACATTCACATGAATGATATTAAGTTTCTTTCTCATTTCTGGAATCAACTGCATTGTTGGTGCTGGCTATGTATTAATAAAACTAATCAGAAGCGTTGGTACCAAAAATTTCCAAGATCGTAAGATGGTATGAGATTTCATTATGGAACATTGAACATGAAGTCCCACTTTCTGGCCTGCTTTAAGGCACAGAAACAAAAACATAGAATGAAATGCAACATTGAATGAAATAAAATAATTATCAATCAATTCAATGGGTAGTCAGTTAACACTATCCAAACTTCTTATATTCCCCATTAATTCTTGAATTTGGTTTTTAATTGTATGTAGGTATAATACAATAACTATATGAAAAAACACTAGTCTCTTTAGAGCCTGCAATCAATGACAGTGTTGTTTGTGATTTATAGGCTTGTTTTAAAATGTCTCTCTCTCTTGTTACCCCGGAATTTAAAAAAAATAAAGAACAAAAACTGTGCAAACTATCTGAATAACACTTTTCAAGAAAAAATAATGATATCCACATATTATAATTAAAAACAAGAATATGACAGGAAAGGTCTGGGGAGAAATCAATGAGAAATGGAGATACTTAACTAAATATATGACAAGTAACTGATATGACAAGGCAACACTAGACCAGGAGGATAAAAATGAGAGTAAATTTTAAGTGTTAAATTGAGCTCGTACTCACAAGATGACAAGCAAAGTGTGAAGATTGAGAAAAATTCTAGATTTAAAAAACACGGGGGTAAGTATCATACAATATTTAAAAACTTTTTCTTATGCAATTATCATTCTGCTGACTCTAATAACATGTCTGGGTCTTTAGCTTAACTCACAACCCATGTCTGGAAACGCCACCTCTTGTTTTGGCAATTTAGCAACGCATGAAATACCTTTGGCATCCCTGTCACTTTTAGTGAGCGATGGTCACTTGTCCTTAGATTTTGGTGTGAGAGAATGTGGCTAATTTTAGTTGGAAGAAAGAGAAAGCACTTATTCTGTCCTTGTTAGTCTTCAATGTACAGCTGCCACTACACTGAAAAGAGTAAACATAGGTGGATCCAGGGGAACATTTTGGGAGGGGAAATTCAAAATAATTTGGTAGAATGTGTCATATCACAGATTTTGTAAAATGTCGCAGGCTATTCTCAGCTAATGCAATACGATTTTATTTGAATATCAAATTATCAGAAAATATTTTTCCTTTAAAGTTTCATGACAAGGTAAAAGTAATAATTACTGAAAAAAATTAAGGAGGGGAGTCCCTCATTTCCCTCCCCGTGGATCTGTGCCTGGTAAATGCCAGTCTGTTGGCAAAGGCAAATGGTGGTAACTTTGAGCATTTACTCAAAGGTTAGTTTTTTGTCATTGTAAGAAAAGTATATTTTATTTTTTTTATTTATTATTTTCAAAAATTATTAATTCATTACTTGTATAATCAGATTCTATAAAAATAATAATATTATATTATTATTGTTATAAATAATAAACAGCCTGGTGGAAATGTTTCACGTGATATCTTTCTGATTTCTCTCTGAGCCAGCTTTCATTAAATAATAATTATTGTTAGTTGGTGTTAATAAATCTATCAATAGTCATAACTTCCCCCACCCTCCCCCTTCTTCAGTATTACAGTGTTGTTTTTTAAGCATACTGGACAGAATTGCCTAATGAGACCTTTTTGTTTCCCTGCTCATACCACCCATCCTGCACAGCATGAAAAGCTTCCTGCATGTGAGCAGCATACCTGCCCGCCTAAGCTCTTGCATGGGAATAACACAGAAACAGGAAAATTGCTGCAGCTTATGACCTGACGGTCACCACCTCCTCTGCTGTCTTGACGTGCCAGGCATGGCAGTCGCACACAATTGCCAAATTGCCAGATCAAGAACACATGCTCTCGGAGATAAGTTGCGAGTTCAGCTAACGACCCTATATAATAAGTACTGATGATTTAAATAAACAATTATCAAGTTCCTTAATATTAATAATAACAATGTCCTGAAAATGCAAACTTTCTACAACTATAAATAAAGAAAAGAAACTGGGAAATAGAAGAAAAAAGAGCAGATTAAGATCCTACATCATACAGTGAAAAATACTTTCAATAAATCTTACCTGAACATTCGAATTCTTTGTATCACTTGAAACAGCTACCCGAGCATCAACCTGGTGACCTAAAGAAGCTGCTTCTGAATAAGACTCTTTTAAAGTACAATCCACTTGGGGATGCTCCATGAGCATATGCTCCTTGTGAAAGTTTGTCTTCCAAACCAAGACCTGAAAAATTCCATAGTAAATGAACCAAGATTTCCATAATTGCACGAGGTGTTTTGTCATTTACAACTAATGAATACCAATCACAATGGATGCATTTCTACTAATTTTGTGTTTTTATCTAACAAGGGCCTTGAGTGAAACATATTAGCTCCAGTTTGAACAGTTTCTGCCAAATGCCACTTTCAGCAATACATAATAAAAAACTTTCAATAACTTGAAGAAAATTGGATTGAATTTTGTAAGGTAATATCACATTCAAGTGTTGATACAGATGCTATTTATCACCATTGTTATGATCATGTCAAGTTTTCACATTAATTTGATAAAAGAAGGTGAAATGAAATTAAGAATTTTTACTAAAACAAACTTAAAACTATTTTCATTAGGAGTACGAAAGTTGTGGAATAGAGAAGGTATAGGAGTGAAATGATTGGATATGTTATCGATTTTGTATTTTAAAAACTAAATAATTAAATTGGTGGGCTCTTTGATTATATACATCCAAAAAGCATTTTTATAAGGATGATTCCGTCATAGGTACTCCTAGCTAGGCTGGACTTTGCTTGTATCATCAAAATAGATAGCCTGGAAAAGGGTCCACAGGCTGCTTAGAAGAACCATGGTCTTCAAAAAGATTTGAAACAATTTTTGATCATCATATCATGATCAGTATGATAATATTTTAAAATGACCATTTTTCATAGAAATCAATCTCACACAAATCTGTGCAATAATTCTGAGGTTTGTTCTTAGAAAAGAAATCTCTCACCTCATAAATCAAAAATGTATTTGTTAAGATAACAAAATATTACTTGCTACTCAATGAACTGTTACAAACTGGCTTTCTTTTACTAGGATAGGGCCCTATACATTATATTACTAAAAAAAAAACTTTTTAACATTTTTTTAAGTACCTAAATACACTGTGCATGTTAGGCCTACTTTCTACAATTCTTAGAATTTCAAATACATAGCACTAAGCAAACTGAAAATTTATAGGCAAACATCCTAAAAAGATCTAAAACAAATAGATCTAGATGAACTCACTTGCTGATCAACGCCACCAGAAGCAAAATAGCCTCCTGAGACAGAGAAGGTGACAGCAGTCACAGGACCGTCATGGCCCTGTAATGTATAGATTGGCCTTCCCTCAAGGAGATCCAGAACCTGTCAAAAAGTTTTACAACCATTTTTAATAGCAGCACTGATACTGTTGAGTTCAAACAATATGGTGGAAACCTAAATATTGTCCATCAATAATAAAACTATTTGTGCAACAATATGAAATTTTGTAATAATTTACTTCTGTAGAATATTTCTCCACCCTTCTTGGTTCAGAACTGGAAGAAAGGGTATAGGTATATCTGTAACAATAGGTATATTTGTATGCAAGGTGAATAAGAGGTTAAGTCAAAGTTCCCTACTTTTCAGAGCATGTCTTTTAATTTACTTTGTTTCTCAAAATAGCAATAATTATATTGGCTTTGTAATGGTGAGAAGGTACTAACATCAGGATTAATTTCACAAATTTCATTAACGTATTATAAAATCCCCATTTCATTCTGTGCCAACTTTAAAGTTTGTACTTTGAAAGGCAGGGAAATTTTATTTAACCACTTATTCACCACACAAACTGATATTGCCCAATAATGTCCCAGGAAAAAATGTTCAAGCTTTTCTAAATTGAAGATTATATAAATAAATGTTCTTGTCAATTTTTGCTTGGAGTTCCATAAAAACTCAAATCTATTATCATCAAAAAACGGGTCATTTGACCCTTCAGATAGTGATAAGAATATATTACACTGGATGCATTCCATTTATCTATGACATCCTATAGTTCCAAAAGTACAAAAAATAATGTAAATTTTCAGCAAACTTCTGAAATTTTTTGTTCATTACAACTTTGATTTAAATGATGTTTTGTCTACATCCATTCCGTCAAACATCTCAACATGAATTTTTCTGCGAGCACATATGCATTAATCATTACCAAAACTAGTGCTAAAACAGAAGCTAGCCCATCATGTGGCCCTTTGTCAAAAACAATCAAACCATGATACGAAATGGAATGGAATGTTTCTTCAAAGCTTCAATTTATTACAAATATCCTCCAGAAGATTCTGAGCTTCAAATCAAGTCACTTATCATAGTATAAAAGCCTAAATAAAATATCCCGTGACCTTCTTATGGGGCGCAGCTGACACGCTGCAAATAGAACTACACTACATTGGTAGGCTTCAAAATTTCTATAAAGTAAACCTCTCTTGAGCAATCAGCACATCTACCAAAAATATACCAAGAAATGCAAAAGGAGCCAATTCAAAGAAAGATAAATTTAATATGCAACGTAAGAATTTTGACTGGCAGCTATCATATACTCATCACATACTGGATATTTAAAATAGCAATCGCTTAAAATGAAGCAGACGGCTGAGGAAGTGGTAAACACAAGCTGGAAGGAGATCAGTTTACTGCAGTAAGAGGAAAAAGACGTAATGACTGAGCAAGAGCAACTTAAATGCTCATTAAATCTTAAAGGAAACTTTGTTTTTATACGTCTACATTTACATAAGAATCACAGAGAAAACTACTCATCTCAAATTCCAGAATTGAATGCTTGATTTAGAAGTAGAAAATGCAACATACCAAACACTTTACAAGAGACAAATTAGAAACAAGCTTTACATTCTTAATATTAGAATGTTTCTGCACACCAATAGTTTGTATTGCATGCTTTGACCATATATACTCAACGTGAAAAATGTTATCATTCGGTACAGGTTACTCAATATTTATCTTCAGCAGAAATATGTTCAAATGCTGACATGAGTAGATTGTTTCCCTTAATTATAGTTTGTTTTGTTAATTCAAAACAAATTGAGTACAGTATTCACTCTGAATTTGCACCTTCAAAAGAGCATGGGACTATTTTATGCAGTCGTAAGGCAAGTTGAACCATGTCTTAACATGTCCTCTTCTGACCTCACAAAATTCTCTACAGAAAATGGGGTATTTTTTGCATTAGTTTTTTTTCTATTATTTTCATTAGCTGTATGGAAAGCAACAATGTTCCCATTCCAACCCTTATGCTGTTTTTTAATGAACCAACACTTGTTACAATTTCTTAATCGGCAATATTGTATAATGTATAGTTACGATTATATATGTTACTACATATACATATGTATTTACAGTAACACACCCGCACATCACATATTACCTATATATTTATATATAATAGTTTTAATTATACACATTTTAAGTACAGCATATATTACAAGGTCATTAACTATTGAATAACCTTTAAAAGCTAATTGTTGAAGTGATTGTTTAAACCAACAGTGTACTGAGCACTACTAATATTATATACACACACACACAAAAGACAGATGTAAGTATCAATCAAATATATACATAGAATGAGCAATATCTATCCAACTGGTTGTGGAAATTAAAATCATAATTAGAAGTAATTCAGTTTCTCCTTCGACAAATAGAATAGGTCAAGAAATGTTAAGCAATTTACTAGAGACCTGCAAAGCTAAAACAGGTTACCATGAATAAACTTGCTAAACAATACTAACTTACCTTCATAGTGCAGTCTTGAGCTGCTGTTAGAATAAAGTTGCCACATGGATGGAAAGCTAATCTGTTTACAGTACCTTCATGACAACGATAGTGCTGGAGCAACTTATGCATTCGAATGTCGTACACTTTTACAACTCCATTGTTCATTGCAGCACCAATGCATGTGCCACTGGGATGAAAGTCCACAGACACAGCATGACCTACAAGGTAACAAAGATATAATTAGTTTCTTATATTCATTATATTTATATATCCTTATATTTATTTAATCCACATGTATTGACAAACAAGCACAATCTAAGAGACAATTTTAAAATAAGTTACATGAGTGCATAGAATGTTTAATTCAGAAGAGATTTCACAACATATTTATGATCAATTTAGAGATTAGCTGTATTAATTCTTGCTGAAGCAGTTCCAAAATTAACCAATGAATTATTTCTAGTCTTATGAATAAGTATAAATTCAGAATAGCAAATTATAATATACCTCACACACAGTACAACCTTCTGATTATTGAACACAACCTTATGAATACCGATTACTAAAACCACAGATTTAATTCAATGATAACTAAAATTGATCACGTGGGTAAGTTGTTTCAAATTGGATCTAATGTCATTTCAGAAATTTAAATGGAAAAGGTTTCTACAATTCAATAAAATTGCTTGATAACTAAAACATAAGTGTTATACTGATCATTCAATAATTTGATTCCTCCCAGGTCTGTACATGTAATTTTCATGTTATAGCCTGTTTGAAGGTCTGATATACAACCGAGATTGTTCTACAGTGTTTGATCTTAATGGAAAATTGTATTCTTCAGAAAATAAATTAAAGTATAAAATGTATATAACAGTATATATTAAATCCTTACTAGAACAAATGGACAAGAATTACCCTGAAGTTCTTGAAATGTATGAACACACTGAGAAGTCGTGTGATCAAATAATCTTATAGTCTTGTCATCTGAACAAGTGACAATGGCTTGTCCATCAGGAGAGAAGCGAGCACATTGTACCCAATTATTATGTCCCAAGAGAGTAGCAATGAATTTCTTGCGTGCCACACCCCAAATCTTGGCAGTCTTATCATCAGATGCAGTAACCAAATGCTGTCCATCAGGAGAGAAATGAACAGAACGAACACAAGAAGAATGCGCCCTAAATTCTCCTGCTTCACCCTGGATGGTAGGCACCCACAAACGAACTGTGCGATCCAGTGATGATGAAGCAATCAGATGACCAGTTGGAGAGAAACAAACATCCGTAACAGCAGCTTTGTGTGCCATAAATCTGTAGTCAGGTACAATGTATCATTTATTGGTAGGCAAGAGCAAGAAATATAAAAATTACATTAATCTCAATTTACTGTTCACAATACCTGAAGGCTCTGATGGTATTTTTGAAGTTCCATACCATTAAATTGCAATCAGCACTACTGGAAGCTAGCTGTTTCGACGCAGGATTAAAAGCCAAAGCAGTAACGGTTCCGCGATGTCCACGGAAATGCCGTTCCAATGTCGGATCATCACTTAACATGTTGTGGATCCAAACAATAACTTGTTACAAATAAGAAAACAAACCACCTCTTCTGTCGATAATGTCAAATTTCGTCTCAGAAAAAAAATTCTGCCCAATGCGTCTGTTAATTTGCGTAAAGAAAAAATATTCACACTGAAGCGACAATAACGAATGCAATTCGCCCGTAAATCTTGCACACACACTTACAATCAAGTACAACACGCACTCTTCTTGCGGCTTCTTACGCACGATCAAATTATTCCACCCGCCAGTGTCTGACGGTTACGTCTCCAAAGAGAAGGCAACTTCGATGTTTTCTGTCATATTCGATTTTCAAAGAATTTTTACCTTCCATCTACTGATCTCCATGACAATTTAGAAGTGCGGGAAATTCAATTGTGTAATAAGGAGGAAAAAAGGACCACATGAAGCCTATTATCAAAGGAGAGTTGGTTAACAGCTTACAAAATTGTACAACTTTAAAAAATTTAATGGTTTATTTTCATATTATCTTAATTTACCTATTCATCAAATCATCAGGAATTACATTCATTTCGATTAAATGTTTTAATTTGTATTATTTGTTTTTTTGGAAGACACTCTAAGAAAAATTGAATCCGTCTCCACGTGAACATTTTATGAGTCCACTAAAGCTTCAAATTCAATTGTTTTTGCACTCCCCTCTTTAAAAAAAGAAAAGTTTTAGGAAGGTGACCTTCTTTTGCCATCTAATTTTCAGCAGTTTATCTGAAATGATGGCTATGTACCAAAAAATGAATCTGAGTGTCATTGAAACCCCAATAAAATTTTGAGACAGATGTTAAGTTTGAATGCTCCTCTAATATTCTCTTCAACAAAATATTTCTTCTCGGGATCATCTACAGAAAAATACCTACAATAATATAATATTTAATAACATGTCGATGGCGAGAACAAGTGTATTTCTAAAGCGAAAGTCATTCTTCATGTGTAAACATGGTGTTACTGCTCGAGTGCCTCTCCCACAGTCCTTGTTTGCCACCTTCCCCACCTGTTCGCCGAGGCAGCCTCCGACGAGCATATCCGCCTGCACGTTCGAGGCAGATAAGCAGAGACTTATCGGGCGCGTGTGCGCCGGCGATTCGCAGCCGCAGTCATCGCCCATCGCCCATCGCCCGCCGCCCGCCGCCCACCGTCCGCTGCCCGTCGCGCGTCGCTCGGCGGACTTCCTCTATACGCCGCAACCGCGCGTCCCCTGCAGTGTCGTGTGGCACTTTGCATCGCATCGCTTCGCGTCGCGTCGTTTCGTGTCGCATCGCAAGCATGTTCAGGAGTGCAACCGCTAACGCGTCCATCGGACGCAAGATCGCAAGGGACATCTGCGAAAGGCAGTACCACATGTTGCGCCAAGGACCGACCAATGCGGTCCTCAAGCAGGTAAGGAAGGGCTCCGAAATTTCTGCTCTTCACATCGTTCCAAATGTCTGTTCCTAAGTTTGATGTCTCGCTACTACCCATGGGGCACTTCAAACAGAAAACAATTCTACGCAAACTATTTCATCTTTTGAGTTTTGAGAACATTTATCTGTTATGCTCAAGCGTCTATTTTTAGCCACGCAGATAAAGCTAACACCGACTTCACATACCGTCGAAATGATATAATCGAAATCACAGGTACCTATACTTCAATAAATAAATCTTCGATCATTGTAGGCATCAAATAAGATTAATTATTGAATATTACTTGGCAACAGTGTTATGGCTCATTCGCTTTAGAACACTTTCAAACAAAATGTGCAAGCATACTTTCGGAAACGCACGGCGATGAACAAACAACTGAAGCCGGAATGACCGATTGGAACCACCAAAGTACATTTTAAAAGTACAGGTACGTCCTTTGACTCCTTGCAACCATGACTCGCGAACACTCGTCTTAACCAACAGGATTGCCGGGACTGACATCTGAAGGTCACGGAATTGATGAGAAATATTACCTTTTAATGAGTAAGATTTAATTTAGAAAAACTTTTAATCAAAATAATAAAAAATAAATCCTTGAAATGTTTAATTCTGATATGTACAAAATTTTAAGCATCCCCCAGTTTCAGATTTTACTTATTCTTATTATTTTGCATGGATTTGCTTTAGGATCAGTAAGTTCTCAAAATAACCTTTCGTTCAAAACACCAATAAATTGTTTTAATAAATACAAAACTATGATTCATTTAAAATAGCTCAGAAAACAATCAGTGCCCCACTTTACATATGTCTTGAATGTATTTCCTACATATTATATGCATTTTCATGTAACCAAATTGCACGTACATATTTGTTCAAACTAAAACATCAAGAATTATTTTGATATAGAATTTGTTTGGTATCATTATAAATTCACTAAGTTCGACTTTCACACTCAAATGTTTAAACTAGATTTGAACTTTATTTGTACCTAGGCTTGTGGTAATTGTATGTGACTTTTGAATGGGGCAAAAAATCTACATTAATTGCTGTTTGTACATACTAGTTTTGGTGTGGGTTTTGGAAATTTAAAAAAGCACCATTCTGATATGTTATTAAAATGGCGGGTGATACGTAATGTAGTATTATAGAAATGTCTACGTCAAAGTGCAAAGCATTACAGACGTGTACTGTAAATGAAACATAATGAATATACCAATAGTCTGACACGCTAGAAGAAAACATGGGATTCAACTAGTACTTGAAATAAGTTTCCAGATAGTTGTGTAAATTGCCTTTCTATTTTCCCGGACAACGCGAGTTTTAATTTTTACTTTCAGCGATTTTTTGTTGCACTGTGAAAACTTTACTCCATATCATGCTTATATTCGCAGCTCAATGTGAAGCTCAAGTACTTCTTTAATCCACAACACCGCACTCAAGAAGTTTTTTCTGAAATTCACCATAACAGATATCAATACTTTAACATGTTTTGGAGGGAAATATAGCGAGGAAATATATATAATGTGTTAATGTAATGTTTGCGAATTTGTCGAAACTAAAATGCAATGAAAAACGACAAAAAAACAAAATTTAATTAATACAGTGATGAACAAATAAAATAATAATAATAATAATTCATCATCCTAAATCATGCAGCACTATAATTACAATCTGTGTAATTATGACGCAATTTCCGGCAGAAACATTTATTTATGAATCGTTTTATGAAACACAATGCTTTTTGAGAATGTAACCTTTTTCCACGTTGTGTCCCATTTTAAGTGAGGGTGAATCTATTTTAGGAATATTGGTAGGAAAAGAAGACTGCACTGTCTTTTTGATTTTCCTCTGCTGTTATGATTTTATGGCACTAATTGTATTCGGATATTTCTGGTTTACGCACACATGCGGATCCCTTGGGAGATTTTGATATTACTTCGCCGATGAGTAGTGCCGCCTATGGATCCCGCAAGCGCAGCAAACCGCCGGTGTTCGAACGGAACCTTCGGGAATTCGACGGGGTGAGCGAGCGTGCAGTCTTCGCCGCCGCACATAAAATGACGTCACACTTTATGGTCGGAAGAGAAGAAAGAGATAAAACATGACAGGAGACGTACAAGGAAACATACAATTCTGGGATATGTACCAGGAAGACACTCCAGAACTGACATAACGCAACGCACACAAGATTTATTTTTACTAATATTGTGTTTGCCAGAGTTTGGTCGTGAAGCGTTCGGGGAACCGAGTGGTATCCAACGGGAAGATGTCACAGGAACCTAAAATCACGTAGACGCTTTGCGTCGCTCGACAAGGAAATGGCGGAACGCGTAGTGGGGTGACGAGAGCGTGTTTGAAACAAGCGACAACTGCACTATTAATGGCGATGAAACAATGAATAGAAAATTAGTCGCATCTCTCCAAGTGCTCTCCAAGTTAAAATAAATTTACTAATTACTATTATACAACAAACATTAAAATGTTTTTGAAATGTAGTACCAAATATAATAGGAGATAACAAAATTTATAAATATTATTCAAAGAGTAACATGTTTTATTTAATGGGAAGACAATTATAAATTATTGCATTTCCTGTTTTGCTTCCCCTATGACATATTTTCTTCTTTATTTAGTTCGAAGATTATAGAGGGCGAAGAGTAGACACATGTCAACCCGCAACACACATTTTGCAGCAACACCCGTACCAACTGCGTAATTCGAAAACGAAGTGTCATAGACTTAAAAAACAAATTTCCGTGGCATGGAATGTACACGCGTAAAGTTTCTTAGGCCGTAATATTCCAAATGAACATAATAATACTTTTTTGCGATGGTATTTCCTCTCCGAGACTCGTGTTGCCAGAATCGACCGAAACTGGGTCCTAGCATGAAGCTGTTTCCACTTTAAAACAACGACGTCCAAAGTGCGGAATGTTCGCACGAAGGGTCCAACTCGTTTAACAAAGTGTCGGGGCGTCCCGAGGGGCGAGGGAGCTGCCCGGTGCTTCTGGAGGCGTGGCGGAAGGGTGCCGTGCCCTTCGTGGCAGGGCTGGGCGGCGGCGCAGCTGGGCTATCGATCTGGGACCCTCTGGGTGTGGTGCCCGTCGCTTCCGGCGGCCCCGCCGGCCGATGAGCGGCGCGCGACAGGCGCTCGCAGCGCTCTGCGCCAGCTCCCTGCTCTCCTCCACTCTCGCTGGAAAGCGAATGTAGGCTACCACGAGGAAATTTGCTACGTATTACGGGTTTTTAAGAATTTCATTCCTCTTTCGTAGCCCCTCGATGGATCGCCAGCTAGCTTTCCGTGAAGCGGTCCCGGGTTGGATTTCTGGCCGGTGCAAAATTGAAATTGTAGCTTTCTAATACCAATCGCTTCGGTTTCTATGACTGTGTAACGAAAAAAAAAAAACTATCAGGAAGAAGTGATCTGGGATTAGTGATGGGGGTGCGGCATGCTCGCCACTTGTCTTCCTTACCCCAGGCGTGGATAATTAATAATAATAATAATAATAATAATAATAATAATAATAATAATAATAATAATGTCTTCATTAATGGCGAGGCTCAGACCATAGGGCCTGCACTTCCGCCTAACCACTGATTAATTCGTCACACCAGAAGAAAAGAGTGTGAATCCCTGGAGAGCTATTGGCGGCGACACCCGGAAGAGCAAGAGAATTGCTCAATCCTTGGCTGATAAATAAATAATGCATTTACAAAAATATTCATCTTATTGTTAAATCATTCATAAGTACCAAAAACGAAAAGAAGTGAAAACTTGCCTTCATACGACATTCTACTATTGTCACGGAATTGTGTCTCAGTTTGCAGTTGTGTATCCTTCCAGTCGCCACCATGAAGAAGGTGTCTATGTCCCACAGCATTTTTATGCATACTCTAAGCAGTTGATCTTCCGCTATGCTATTTTAAAAGTTACAATATAATGCCTTCAGTGGGCATTTATCTTCCTCTGCGGCGGCCATATTCATAACATTTTAACTTCTTTCGATCCATTGTGTCCATTGCAGCGATTCTATTTTTATTCAATGATTCTGTTTCCAACATGATTCCGCAACGTTACCCTACAGTATGCCATCTCAATTCCACCCAATATTCCATTCTCAAGGCAAACATTTTTTCCCATCTTGTTTCTCATTACTTATACTTCAGCTCCACGCGTAGGAGGATTATTGCCTTGAAGTATTATGTTAACTGTTCTTTTGGTTTGACATGAAAACAATATAAAGAAGAATTTAATTATTTTGAAACGTGTTTCATTTGATGCACTCTACTGTTCATTATCTTCTTTTGTTATAAATACCCCATTTTAAAATATTAATGTAATTTACGAAGCATATAATACTCGTTATCATCTCTTGCTAGAATCACTTGATTTTCTGTAAATTGTAAAAGAGTTAAACGTGACATAATTTGAGAGAAGAAGTTTCCGATTCCCGCGCTTTTAAGATTTCTTGCGTAAGAATTTATTTCTGTATGAACGTTATTGTATGATGAATTTATGCCAGTTAAAACCGGTAAGATATGCATCGATTAAATTTTGCGAGTGGAAATTGCTTGAGCGAGTGCATTTCCTACTTCCAACCGAAAAGGAAATCCGGCATCTCGAATTTCTTGGCCTCCGTGGCCCCTCGAAGCGTTTTAATCATGGAATGGGGATTTGGGCTTAACCGGCACTTCATTGTCCGTGAAGTCGCCACACCCTTCGCCGTTGGCGTTTATTCCGGCGGGACACGCCACAGCTCCTGCCACTATTGCCACGTCATTTTTTCTACATCCCCCAAGAGAGGGAAAAATTTCTCTAAAATCCGCCAAACCTATATTTTATTATTTTAAGATCACTGAAATCATGTCTATAAAAAGTTAGTATGTGTATATTTTTATCACCCAAAATGCCTACTCAGCAGGCATTGAATGCATGAATCATGCAACCAAGAAAACATTAAATGCTCATTTTTAAA